GACTGAAATTGGTGGTTGTGCTCTTTTCCGGAGCAGAACTCTAAAACCATTCAATATTTCTTCACCAAACTTGGCACATACATAGATCTGGTGGTGTACTTGTGCCTTTTGGTTGTTTTGGAATTCTGAATAAAATATTTTTGGCATTTCCATGGCAACAAGTTTGACTTACACTGAAATTGGTGATAGTGCTTCTTTCTGGAGCAGAACTTTCAAAACCTTTGAATACTCTCCTTCCACTTTTCTATATACACACCTTTCTATATATGTCACCATTTGACATAATCATAACTCGTAGACATAATCATGAAGAGTATTTTGCCATTGCGGGGGATATTGATGACTTTGTCTTCTTGTTACTTTTATAGTGTCATTTACTCACATTGAATAGGACATATTCTGTGGTTGTTTCATTTTTTACCGTTTAAGCCACGCTCAGTGATATTCCAGCTTTATGACAGGGCTTCTGGACCAGATAATCCAGTGATCGATATTGTGAGCAACATTCCAAAATGTTGCGGTAACAACGCTATGATGTCAAACCAAACGCCTGAGTCTGACCATGTCATCATTTCAGTAAATGGGTATGTGCTCTGACCTAGAAGGCCCCCGTAAATGTCCCATGGCAATAATTATTTGGCAACCTGTTACATGGTTTCTTCTTCTCCATCTTACATGATGCGGAGCGGTGGGGTAGCCTAGTGGTTAAGGCCTGGGTTCGAGTCCCCGCATGGGCAGTGTGTGAAGCCCATTTCTGGTATCCCCCGCCATGATATTGCTGGAACGTTGCTAAAAGTAGCGTCAAACCAAACTAACCTCACTCACTCACTCACTTCAGGATCCTAGTCAACTCACTGTTGATTCTTTACCATAACTCTAATAATAATAATAATGGCACTTATATTGCGCTATATCCACGCCATGAAGGTATGCTCAAAGCGCATTGCCTCAAACCATGGAAACAGAGGCAGTTTAGTTCTCCACAGTGGTATGAGTTATGTATCTTTTAGGTATAGTGCTTGAAAAGGTAGGATTTAAGACTGGATTTAAAAGTTTCAAGAGATGGAATCAACTTCAGTGATTCGGGTAGAGAGTTCCACAGAGTAGCGGCTGAGACAGGGAAGGATCTGGAGCCGAAAGTTTTAAGTTTGGCGACAGGCACCCGAAGGAGCTGTTGTTGACTAGAGCGTAGAGTTCTTGAAGGGAGGTATGAGACAGTCAGATCACTCAGATAGGCAGGTCCAGTACCATGGACAGCTTGGTAAGTGAGTGAGAGTATTTTGAAAATGATTCGCTCAGGAATGCGAAGCCAGTTTAGCACTGGTGTGATGTGTGCCTTTATGTTCCTTTTACTCTCCCAGTACTACCTCCATGCACTGCAACTAGTATTACCATGGAATTGGTACATTTCAGGAAGCAATTAATGTTAAGGTGTTAGTACATATTTCTTTTAGATGAGGGGCGGTGGGGTAGCCTTGTGGTTAAAGCGTTGGCTCGTCACGCCGAAGACCCGGGTTCGAATCCCCACATGAGTACAATGTGTGAAGCCCATTTCTGGTGTCCCCCGCCGTGATATTGCTGGAATATTGCTAAAAGCGGCATAAAACTAAACTCAGTCAGTCTTGTGAGTTTAGTTTTATGCTGTACTCAGCAATATTCCAGGTATATGGCGGTCATTACTTGGGACTATTTTGAGAAACATAGTGTTCCTGTACCAATTTAGGAGTCAGTATTGATGGATCTCAGACATTTATCAGAACAAATGTCACATGTAGATGTTTTCAAGGACAAGAAAATTTGATATCTCTTTCATGGAGAACATAGGAAAAAGGAACCAAAGTGTTCAATAAACATTTATAGTGTCAGCAATAAAGCATCATGAACATCTTTCTATTTTCTTTTTTTGTTTGTATATTGTTTAACACAGCAGTTAGCAATTTTTGAGCTGTGTGAAGGCTGTCTGTAAATAGTCCAGGCTGGACCATGTTTCATTGGTTGGACCATGTAATGGAGAACAAAGCTGAAGGCTGCGTCAAAAAACAAAACAAAACCATATTAATGATTAGCTCTAACCTGGAAAGGTGGTAAAACCATTTGGAGAATGAAAGTTGTTTTTAATGTAATGCCAAATTCAGCATCTGGCAGTCATGTGACTTTTATCTTAGCAACTGTGATACGACAACATGCATCAACCAAGTCAGCTATCAGGACCACCACATCCCATCTCTCACCTCTTTTGATAGGTGAGGGTTGTTGAAGACCAATTCTAACCTTGATCCTAAAGTAAGTGAGTATGGTTCAATACCATTTCGAACAATATTTAAATTACATCATGACATGCCAGTTTCATGTTGACAGAAAGACCAAAATGATTACCATCATTCCTATCCTGCCACTACCAAGGGACTTAACTCTCAGCAGCAGCCTACACAATACAGCCACTAGTTTTGAGAGATAAGGTTATGTCAGGGGTGGAAATAAGTTTAAAATTGCTAGTGTACTCCGGTACAGTTGCACATGTAAAGTCACTTGCCCTGATTATTTTCCCACTATACCAACCGTTTTCTTGCTGATTTTTTAAATAAACAACATAATAAACATTGGAAAGTCAACTGGACACCGGTACAGTGTGATATACAAATTTGCTTGCCCGACAGAAAAAAACACTGGACTCGGACGTCGGGCAATGGGTTATTTCCACCCCTGTTATGTGTAACAAAAACAAATCATGACATGAATGCATGTCTAACAATATGACAAAGATCATTCTGTGAATTTGTGAGAATTAAAACTTGCACCTGGAAACATTTCAACGAAGGTAGATAAGGACAAACTTTATGGATGCTTGACAACGATACAAGAATCTGTATCGAAACGTTGCATCACCTGAATAAAGAAGTTGTTCATCCATAAAGTTTGTCCTTATGTGACTCACAAAATACTAAAAACTGCAAGAAGTTAATTGCAACAATAGTTCAAATACATTCTTTGGTAACAAAACAAACATATGGTTGACAGTATGAGTGAGTTTAGTTTTACGTCACACTCAGCAATATTCCAGCTATATGGTGGCCGTCTGTAAATAATTGAGTCTGGACCAGACAATCCAGTCATAAACAGCATGAGCATCTACGCAATTGGGATATGATAACATGTGTCAACCAAGTCAGCGAGCCTGACCACCCGAGCCCGTTAGTCTCCTCTTGCGACAAACATGGGTTACTGAAGACAATTTCTAACCCAGAGTTGATAGTATGAACATCGCACAACCTCTTTTCATCTTATTCATTTCCATGGTAACATATCCACAACATATCACACTAATCAGCACTAATGAGTCAATGAGTAGGGTTAACCACTGCTTTGCACAGTATTCAACAATATCCCACTTATTTAACAGTGTATCTGACACGATGCAGGTGGAATACTAGGGGTGTCACGATACACCAATCTCACTACATACGATATGTATCACGATTTTAAGATTACGATACGATACGTATCACGATACATAATTTTCGCGCCTTTCCATAGCATTACCTTACCGACAACGTACGCGCTCGCTGATTGGTCCATCAAAATAGTCTAGCCAATCACAAAAGCTGTTAGTTTCCAACCTATTTTTTAAGTATAGCTAGCTACGTCTATTTATCGGAGCGGTCTAGTATAATTTTACTATCAAGACTTTGAAGGAGATGGATATAGCATAAAAAAATGAATCGATAAAGTTTTAAAATAGGAATCGATACACGCAAGCATGTATCGCCTATCGTATCGTCAGTAAAAATGTATCGATGCATCGATACATTCGCGTATCGCGACACCCCTATGGAATACCTTTACCACTTCGGTGAAACTGTCAAACATGGGTCAGGTACAGGCAACCTAGATACATAACCAGGACACTTTGGGATTCGAACCCATAATCATATGTTTCTGAAGTGCCCAAGGGATGCAACCCTGCACAGCAAAATGTGATAGCTTACACAACTAGGCCACCTGTGCCCCATATCATCAAAATTATGTCATATTATGTCTCTGTATAGGTGAGGTGAGGTGAGGTGAGGTGAGGTGAGGTGGAATTGGGTTTAACGCCGTACTCGAGAATATTTCACTCATACGACGACGTCCATGCGTGTGTATGTGTATGTGTGGCTGCTTGTACTAGCCCAGACTTAAGCTGGTTTTATCGTGCTAGCCCACTGAGATACCATACCGCAGTGAAGCATGAATACCCCACTCAGACACATTATACTGACTCCGAGCTGACCAGTCCGTGTTGTACCTATTAATGCCGAGCGCCAGGCAGGGACCAACAAGTACCATATTTTAATGTCTTTTGGTATGACACGGTCGGGGATCGTACCCGCGACCTTCCACTCTCTGGACGCACGCTCTAACCACTACACCACGGAGTCTCTGTATAGGCCTTTCATAAGACAAAAGTAACTGTTATTTTTTACAGCACTGAGACTCCTCAGGAGAAAACATTCATTTCTTCCCCAAAGATATTAATTAGGCTGATGATGCAATTTATAAGATTTTCATAAAATATTTTTCAATTATATGATTGAAACTTTAAACAAATTAAAATTCTGGCAGACATATTAATTACATGATTCATTAACATTTCCCCTTTGGTATGTTCATCCACTTGAAGTGTCTTCAAAGTTGGTATCCTGGCATCCTGGTCTGCGTTAACAAATACCTTGATGTTACCACAATTAGAGTCAATCTAACTTGCCATTTAGTCCATATCATCAGATATATTACATTTCTTCTGTCATTAAAATCACTTTTGTCTGTTACATAGTGGAGTGAGTGAGAGAGTTGAGTTTTACGCCGCACTCAGCAATATTCCAGCTATATGGCGGCGGTCTGTAAATAATCGAGTCTGGACCAGACAATCCAGTGATCAACAGCATGAGCATCGATCTGCGCAATTGGGAACCGATGTCATGTGTCAACCAAGTCAGCGAGCCTGACCACCCGATCCCGTTAGTCGCCTTTTACGACAAGCATAGTCGCCTTTTATAGCAAGCATGGGTTGCTGAAGGGCTATTCTACCCCAGACCTTCACGGGTCTGTTACATAATGGAAGAGCCATCAATCAAGACTGTGGCACAGATTCATCTGTGGCCTCTTTGAGTCGTTCCTCCAGAGCATCATCGAGCTCCTTGTGGAGATCCTTGTCAATGTCCACTGTGTGCAAGTCCTCCATGCCTTCCTTGGCTCGTCGCCGATGAGAATGTCGATGAGACTCATGATGGCGACATGGTTGAGCCGATCCGTCTCCCACTTGTGTAGCTCCCTCATAATGACGTACGTGTTCTTCTCCTTGATGTAGAGACGCCATTTCTTCATTGAACAAAGCTGGGACAAACAGAGAGTGGGTTAGCAAGATGGCTTTTTTATGTCACATTTGGCAATATCCAAGTGAGTGCGAGTTTGGTTTACGCTGAGTAGTATAATCGAATAATAGTTTCTGACCTGGTCTGAAACTATCATTCCCTACACTACTTGCTGCCTTCAGCAATATTCCAGCAATATCAGAGCGGGAGAAACCAGAAATGGGCTTCACAGATTGTACCTACGTAGGGATTTGAATCCAGATCTTTGGTGTGATGAGTGAACGCTCTAACCACTAGACTACCCATCTCCCCTAATATCCAACAAATTTAAAGGCAAGGGAAACCAAAATTAGGCTTTACACATTGTGGGAAATCAAACCTGGACCCTAGGCATGATTAGTGACCACTTTGACCACACAGCTACCACACCAACCTACAAACACAAAGAATGTTCTTCCTACTTCCATGGACAAAAGAGTGGGTGGGTCAGTTTAAACAATCTGTACTTTTAACAATATACCAGCAATATCACGGCAGGGGACACCAATGAATTGAAGAATTTAACCTAGGGATGACAAGCAAAAGGAGGCTGAACAAGTAAATTGTTAAGAAAGGAAAGAAGAGATTGTTTTTATCAAAGTCCACATCGCTTCAGCTACACAAAAAGGATTGGATTGATGCACTTTTACCAAGACTATAGTTGACTTATAGCATAAATTCATACACATTCTGTAGCTTCAACAACTGAGTTTAGTTTTATGCTGCTTTTAACAATACTCCAGTTTCATCATAGTGTGTTGGATTAATGTTGGAATACAGCACAAAGTATGGCCGGTCTCAGATGAATACCATTTTGGAGCTGACAAACCTAGATACATGATGAAGGCAAAGCAGGATTTGAACCCAGAATGATAGATTTGCTCAAGTGAAAGATACAGATCAGCAAAGTGACATTAGGACTAGGCTAGGGGGGTGATGATGATTTTATGATGATCTTTCACCCTCCCTTTTAATTTTAAAGCATAATTTTTAAAGAATAATACATACAAAATTGATGCCCGCCTACCCCCTAGCACATGTGTCAAAAATTGATTACCCCCTACCCCCTCAGAACTGAATGGGTGACCCCCCCCAAAAAAAACAACAAAACAACCCCAACAAAACAAACAAAAAACAACAACAAAATAATCCAACAAAATTCATCAACAACCCCCCTAGCCATAAATTATGAACGGTCAATACAGTAATCTTAAACATGTGAAAGGAAAGCAAGTGCAATTCAAAACACACGTGAATGTACTGTAAACTAACTTATGCATCCAAATCCAAACAGTATTTTGACTAAATATGCAATCATCAAAAACCCAATACCCATTTATCCTCAAGAACTCCAAATCATCAACTATGTGAACACTGTAGATGCGCCTAAATAACTCCATAACACCCCTATGGCAACTTTGTAGATGCTCCTCAGAGAGTATATACCTGTGTGACTGCTTCCACCAACATCTTCCGAATGTCTGGATCCTTTTCTCTCTCCTTGTCTGGAGGAAGGTACTGGAGGTCATCCGGGAGACGTTCCATGTCATCATCGTCGAACTCTTCTGGTCCAGCCAGCGGCAGCAGCAGCCGAGGCAAGATGTCCACCTGGTCTCCCATTAACCAATCATGGCAGTCTACACAAACACACAATGAGGGGGCTTACTTCTCTAGAAATGTCTCGAGTGAGTGAGTGAGTGAGTGAGTGAGTGAGTGAGTGAGTGAGTGAGTGAGTGAGTGAGTGAGTGAGTGAGTGAGTGAGTGAGTGAGTGAGTTTAGATTAGTTTTAGCAATATTCCAGCAATATCACGACATGCCCAATACTTGCAAGTTATTGACTTCTGACAAGGCTAAAAATAGTGTTGGGAATCAAATCCACTACCGATTATTGGAGGACTTGTGGTGAACGATTATCAATTATAATCAAAATATATGTACATTTATAATGTAATCACCAATTTAAATTTTTTCCCCCAGGTTTTTCTAATTAACGTTTTTCATAACTAATACTGTCATGCAATGAAATGCACGCATGCAAGAAAGACACTGGAATTGAAATTAAACAATGTAAGTGATTAAAATTTTACAATGCTTACTGTCAACTGAAACAACAAAATTCTGAGTAATCGACAATATGTTAGTTATTTAGTGAATTTCTTAATTAGAGCAGACCAATTTTACTTCTTTTTTTACGGCTTTTTGTCCTAAGAAAACCTAATGGCAGGAGGGGAAAAAATAAAATAAAATGATCAGTCAAAGTAATATTCCTTCTAAATACTAAAAGTATTTTACTTTTGGGAATTTATGAAGTGTATATGGGGCAAAAACAATCTAAAAGAAGTTTTCTCGTAAGTTTACATTTTTGGCCAATAAAAAAACATATATTGAATTAATTAAGAAATTTTTTTCTTGAAAAAATACTTGAAAAAATATCCCCGGCGAGCTGTAAAACAAGAAATAAAACTGGTCTGGCCTTATGTGAAAAAGAGGGTCCTGATCCAACGTTTTCTTTTGGGAATAAATCTACTAACCTATCTCGAAGCAGCAATTTTTCAGAGTTCCAACAACCCCTCCTCTCCGAAGATGGGACCGTTTATATTGAGTGAATGGTAGCAGCCTCTGTAAAATGCAGCGGTTCTTGTCCATCAGCTCCTGCCTGATGGACGAAATCTGAGTCAGATTGGACAAGAGCAGACCTAGACAGTCCAGACTCGCAGACTGGTTGAAGTCCATGTTACACAGTGCATCAACCATCTTCTCAACACCAACATCATCACGATGCTCTTCCACAACAGCTGCAAGTTTCAGTGCACATCTCTGTGTCCGGGTTATATTGGCTAACATGCTGCCAACAAGATCAGCAAAATCACTTTCTTTATTCAACACATATTTCATCAAGTCTAGACTTATACTTGGAAATTTTTCCAGATTTAACAAAAGCCATGAAATATCTTCATCGGTTGCCAAATTGAGCAAACATCGGAATGCATCTTTAACAATATCTTGCATATGATCAGAGGTCAGGGACACAATTGCTTCGAGGAATGCTGGATTATCTTTCACAAACTGGATGCCCTCTTTCTTCCCAGTTAGACCAACGATAAAGCTGAGAGCCTGGTGTTTTACATCCGGTCGAGCAGATGTGGACAGGAATGGAAGCATTTCTTCTTTCACAGTCTGCATGGTAGCTTCGTCTAAGGCAGACATTGTCTGGAAACTAATCAGAATACACCGCTACAATGACTATCTTTTAAGCTAGATTAGAGCTTTGTCCTGTTTAGTGTTCACTGACTCTACTATTCACCTTTAGTGAGGATAGTATTGGATTTTTCTTCCAGGAAAATGACAAAAATATCTCAATTGCAAATGCACTTTTTTCTTAACCAGAAAATATGTACCAGTCAAGCATTCCTCATACCTCAACATATCTTGATTTCCTTATAGGACACTGTCATGGAAAAAATGGTGTTTTATTCTCAATAGCCCTTTTCTGTTATATATAAAATTTACCTATTTAGGTTCTGACAATTTAGGCGCTGTTTTAGCTGGACCTCTAAATAATTGCATTTTGTGGTTTTAAAACAGTTTTCAGTCTAAGTAAACTTAGGCTATACTGAGTCTATCAAAAAACCTTGCGGAAGGTCGCGTCAGATAACCTTTTCAATTGACCAATCAGAACACAGCTTACCAAATCGCGAAAGTTGACATTCGCACATACCTTTTGAACTTTTACCTCCAAAAAGTTTGTACCGAGCGATTCCGAATGCTATTTTCCGTACGATTGGTTCCTAGTGAGGCACGCCACATCAGTGAGTAACAGTCACTGAAAATAGCGTTTAATCAGTATTCAAGCATGACAGCTTGCTGAAATATTAGCTATGATAGCCATGTCACCAGAAACCACAAAGAGTATATACTGCAGAGCAAATATCTGTGTTTTATGCAATTTTTATTTGTCGGGAGATCAGTGTTGGCGAACGGGGAAAAGAAAATCCCTTTTGTAAGTCCCGTCGAACCCTAGAAAGTAGCTGTTGTCTGATTGGTTAAATCTGCTCGGCCGTCTCGCGTTTGATTGGGCAGTCATAGGTTGCTCAAAGGTTACCTGACGCGACCTTCAACAAGGTTTTGTTAGACCCAGTATAGCAGTGTAACGAATAATACTGAGGCTAAGTTTACTTAGACTGAAACAGTTTTGATCCTGTAACAAACGATACATTAATTCTCAATGTATTCAACGTTCTATGATTCCAGAGATCATATAATATATGGTCTCTGATGATACACAGTATGTAAATGAATAGACTGCAGTATTTGTGTCCTGTTTTCACAGAAATCAAATCAAGTATTCCATCCAGGAGCAATTTCATATTTATGGTTGAAGTGAGAGGGTTCACTTTCTATCATAAAACTCTCAGCCCCTACAGGAATAATGTTTTAGACCATACTTCTCACATCCAGTTCATTTTCAGTGTCAACTGAATTATGGTTAAGAAACATTTAACTTTAAGGGGTACGTATACTAACCCTGTGTTCATGAAAAAGTGGCTTGACAAGCCGGGGATAGAGTTAGGGGTAACATACCCTAAATCTAACACAACTAACTCTTAATTCTAACCACAAATAGCTATAACTGAAACAAGACCCAAACCATCCTGACCAATAAACTGCACCCAGTTAACTGCTGAATTCTGGTCTGAAATCTAAAAGGTGACACCGTTAACTTTATAAAAACGGAACTGTTACATACTAACACATTAGTATGGTAAATATTATGTCCGTCTATCATTTTCATAACCACTTTTGATGTCAAACCTGAGTGATAGCGAGACATGCATTTGCAGCATAAGACCCTGAAACGACTCTAATTCCAAAGAAGACGTATGCTGGTATCACTGGGAAAAATACAGACCAACAAAGTACCTTCTACGCGTATATAAGTTGACAGGAACATACACGTGAAACACGATGCCAAATGAGATCACACGACAATGAAAAGACGTAACTTGTCTTCCAGCGGAATACCTTCGTCAAAACAAACACGCGTGCATGCACGACACGCCCAGTTATCGCCCTTGCGGAAGCTGTTCGGTTTCGTTTCGAATCGAATAAAACATTTTTAGGTAAATGATTAAATCGTGTTTTAAGCTGAGGTTTCGATAATAAATGTTTAAAATATCATTGATATTAAATAAACACCGATTTTATTATGTGAAATTACGAAAAAGCATACGTGTTTAACTATTTGTAGGTGTCCATGTTGGGGTAATATTTCCTGGTCGAAGAATATTTCAGAATATTAATCATTAACTTACTGATGAGGTTGTCTGTTAAAAAATGGAATTGTAATTCACCGTATCTTACTAAGCGTAACCTGGTTACCTTTTTGCGGTGGTGCAAACGTAATATTCATATCTAAATGCCAGCACTCCAAAGCAAAAAATGTGAATCATTTTCAGCTAAAAACATTGCTGTGAGTAAGAATACATGTTGATCGTTGATTGCGTGAAATCTTTTAAAGCGATTAGGCAATGTGTTGGACGTTTCAATTCCATATAGAACGACAGCGTGCATGTTCAACATTTATTATTAATATTGATTATGAATAACGCTGTGCTGTTATGTTTCAGAATTTCATGATGGGATAGAACTGTATTGTGATGTCTTGCTTGATGAAGGTAACGATGATTCCATCAAATGAGTAAAGATAATTCTGTCGTTGACATTTTATGTACTTGTTTAAATGAAACACTCTTTATGCAGAAGGTTTGTAAACTTACATTTCTGTAACAAGTAATTTTTTAAAACTTTTATAACTATACTTATTAAGCTATAATAAAAGGGAAACATTCATTTGTGTAATACTTACAGCACATTAAAATCATTTGCCAAAAGAACAAACATGTTGTAAGACATGTTGAGACTCAGATCACTTGCATAAGATTAAGGGCAATACCCATTTCAGTACATTGTAAAAGTACAGCTGCAAGAATCACAACCTTGTACATCCCCCAGTAAGAGTTCCGCCGTAGCGCTTGCTTGAAATGTATTCTTTTTATTATGATTATTTCAAGGGGTTTAGGTTTAGGGTTCAGATTTAGCATTATGTTAAGTTTAGGGTTAGGGTTACGGTAGGCTTTCTATAAAAAACATCTATTCTTACTATAAATCTTACTGAGGTTCAGATAAGCTGCATAAATTACGCAAATTCCTTATATGTCTGTTCCATACAAGTATGCTTGAAAATTTGTAAATACGCTCAAATCTTAGCTCGGGTGTTGCTGAGGATAGATATAATAACTGAGGTATATTGAGAGGTTCTATTTCAGCACATGAACGTGGCAACTTGAACTAAGTTGCAGTCTTTCTTATTGTTTCTTACATTACAGATCAAATATAAATAACAAACATGTAAACCAACATTTAAACTTTATTATATTTTTACAATAAAGGCAAAATACCCAAATGAGTTTGAGTCAGGTGGGTACAATTTTTGGTTACTCGAAGGAAAATTAGGATACCCAATTGACATGAACACAAGCGAGTACATAACTCAATGACTCGAAAAGTTATCTGTAGTTCTGATCTTAGGCATAGAATGAAAACGGGGGTTACGGGCGGAAATCTTTCCTGGCATTAGCAGAGCTTACTCAATCGCCACCATATAGCTGGAATATTGCTGAAATATTGCTGAGTGCAGCGTTAAACAACAAACAAAAACAAAAGTAGACTGTAGAGCTTATCCACAAGGATAGAAATAATATGATTCAGGGTTTAAATTAATTTGTCATGGTTGCAGACAGATACAAACTATTTTGATATTTCTGTTGGCTGAAAGCAATTGGTAATCAGAATCTCAACAGATTTTGCTCACCTATACCAAAGGTCAAGTGGGCTTTGTTATGTTCTTCATGGCATTTATGTTGTCTATAAGATCTCAGAAACCAGGGGGGTGGCGGTGGGGTAGCCTAGTGGTTAAAGCGTTGGCTCGTCACGCCGAAGACCCGGGTTTGTTTTCCCACATGGGCACAATGTGTTAAGCCCATTTCTGGTGTTCCCCACCGTGATATTGCTAAAAGCGGCGTAAAACTAAACTCAGTCAGTCAGTCAGTCAGAAACCAGGAGACCGATGCATGTGAAAATTGGTGTGCAAGTTGCTGTTTTTCTGTAATGAAGATGGGCAAATGTTTAACCACTAAGACGAGACAACTCAATAATGTGATAGAACGTCTTGAAAATAGTGTGTAACATTAATGAATACTGAATTAGTCCAGTGTATGAATGCTAATTTGTAGCAGATTCATTCTTCAAAACAGCCTGGAATTCCCACTGCTGCTGCCAGTGACTGTCTTGCTTTTTCTTTGTTGTCAAATATACAACAAAAGTAGTTCAGTGAGCTACATGGTATCTAGCCTAACATGTTTAGCTTTTGTTTGACATTGTTTAGTTGTATTGTTATAATTCTTTTATAATTCTTATATTTCTTAAAGTTTCTGATTTCTCTGTTTTTGCATTTCCTCAGGGGGATGAGAACTTTATGGCCAGCCAATAATTTAAGATGCACTGTGCATTGTACTTGTAAAGCTGAGGTCCATAACCTAACTAACTTCAGCATTACCAGTATTTTCAGCAGTGTATGAGATCTCCTAGTCACATGCTCAGGTCATGTGACTGTCACATGACCTTTCATCGACAGGACAAGCTTTGATGGAATATCGTCGTCATAGCTGGACCTCACTGATGATACAATTGATCATCGTTCCAATTGGCTTTACTTAACAAATGTTGTTATGATTTGGTTATTTGTGACAGAAATCTTTTTGAACTTGGTTTCAGTTGACTTTCATTCTCTTTTTTTTTGGCCAATTGTTTAGGTTTCATCTAAGACTCGTATGTTCTTTGTCTATAAACAGTTGTGAGCCAGTTTGATGCTGTTTGGCTGTTGCAAAGACTAAATCATAGTTAAGACTAAACTCAGAATGAGTGAACTTTCTATAAGCGGAACTGTGCTAAATAATGGCGATGAAGGGATTGGTATCGCAGCAAGCAACTCAGACATGGAATCTGGTGAAGAGGAAGATGCCACACCATCATCACATCATATGTCCAACTCAAAATATGAAGAGTTGGACTGTGAAAATGATGCTGGAGGGCAAACCACCGAGAAAGGCAACAAAATTCACCTCCAGTCGCGAGAGGACGACGAACCACCGAGGAAGAGACCCAGATGTGATCAAACCAAGGATGTGAATGGGAAGATTGAGTTTGAAATTATTGATGAGATTGAGGCTGATGAAGAAGACCATGGGAACGGTGACGATAGCGATGATGATGAACTCTCAGATGACGAGATCTACGCTTGGCTGGAGGAGGGTGTAGATAAGAATGTCCAAGCTGAAAAGGATGACAGTATTCCTGTTGAGAGGGAGAAGGTGGTATTGAAGGGTAAATTGTTGACACATTCTCTATTTGGCCTGCCAGGCAGAGTTTTAAAATGCACCTGTTCTATGTTCTCATCCAATTTATTCTCTATAAATATTGATTTTAAAGGCCCAATGTTATAGCTTAAGCCAAGAGGGCTTGTCAGGGTAGTCTGAATATAGTGTTATTATGGCTAAGATTGGTCATCACAATTTTACTAATTATTGGAAATTAAATTTATGTTCAACTTGAGAGTTGTAAGAAATCAAGTACCTGTATCACATCACTTTTCTTACGTGCCATGATGACACTCATGGTTCACTCAAGGAGGGCTCCAGATAAGGGCCGTATCGGTGTATGTACGGATAAAACATATGCACGATAATAATTTAGAAAATGTAGCAGATACGCACAACAGCAATGGTGTACGGTCTTAGAATCATTTACAGACGTATTTATCTGAAAAGTTATTGTTATATTTTTTATTAACCTGTTTACCCAAGAGTAGCGATATCGTGGTGCATATATGAAACGAAACACACTATTACTGATACTGCATTAAATTCCATTCAGTACTCTAAATGTACTTTATAAGTTTTTCCAGTACTACTGTATTGAAAAAATAAGGAGTATGTACTCCTGATGTTGAAAAATTATCTGGAGCCCTGCTGAAGGAAACAATAAACTAGTTTCACAAATCTATTATGTTTCTTTTCTGAAGTTTAGAAATTCATAGATAAATACATGCTAGTACTTATGAACTTTGCTTAAGTTGATTTCAGGAATGTAATGGTAGGGCCACCATCAGTGTGCGAAATAGTTTCCAAACTTTTATAGCCAGTCGGGCTAGCTATGCCTGAAAGATACTAGCCAAAAAATTCATTCACTAGCCCAAAATTTTAATGTAGAAACACAGGAAAAGATTACATTAAGGTAAAATACCATGATTCATAAGGACATAATTTTGCATGATTTAAAAGTGTATTATAACTTAACAAGTCAGAGGGAGTGATATTTATTTGATAATGACCCATGGCAATTCACTACCGAGTTGGGCCAGTGAATGTGGAGATTTTCTGGCCCGATTGTATTTATACTAGCCATGGGCTAACGGGCCAGTGGCTTTTTTGCACACTGACCACAATGCAGAGGGAGGAGGGGTGATAGCTGAATTACGTTTGACACCAGTGCTGTTTTGATTTGTCTTTAAAAGGTACTAGGAGCTACAATTCTTAGATAAAACAATATTTGTTTTGATCATTTCTGCTGCTTAGCATCTTGTAAACATGTAACAAATTAAAGGGTTTGAAAACCAGCCATAAAAAGGACTCATTTAACGTTATTGTTAGTGAAAGATTTGGAATACACTCAATCAAACTTGACTCACATAATATTTTAGTTACTATATTGGAAAACTCTATTAATTATTTTCTGTGTTTTCCAATGTTTGAAACTATGGCAAATGTTATATCCAAATATTTACATAAAGTTTCTAAACAATGTTCCAGAAAAGGGTCATGATCCATTTGACATCCTCCCTGAAGGCTGGGTCGTGGTGACCCACAACAGCGGTATGCCAGTTTATCTTCACAAGGAGTCCAGGGTTTGTACCCTGGCTAGACCATACTTCCTCGGACCAGGCAGTGTCCGGGTATGTTTCACAACAGTGGGATTGATTTGGTTGGTTGGTTGGTGTGTTGTTAAACGCCACGCTCAGCAATATTCCAGCTATATTGCGGCGGTCTGTAAATAAGGGACCGTTCATAATTTATGGCTAGAGGGGTGACGATGATTTTTATGGAGAAGCATGTACAATGTGAATAACATGGGTGACAAGAACAAAATGTGTGACACCCCCTTAAAATCAAAATCATCCCCCCATCCTTAAATTATGGACGGTCCCTACTCGAGTCTGGACCCATCGATCCAGTGATCAACAGCATGAGCATGATTCTACACAGTAGGGATGCAATGACATGTGTCAACCAAGTCAGCAACCCTGTCCACCCAATACAGTTAGTCGCCTCTTATGATCAGCATGGGTTATAGAAGACCAATTCTAACCTGTATCTTCACGGGTCCACAACAATGGGAAATGGGACAGTGTTAGTCTGAAACTTGGCCCACTGTGACCATGTATTTTCAAAATCATTCTGTAGACATTAATGTGAAATAACTGTCGTTAAGAGGCAGTCGTAAATTGTTCACATCCGCCTTACACCTGTGACTGACTGAGTTAGTTTTACGCCGCTTCTAGCAATATTCCAGCAATATCACGGCGGGGGACACCAGAAATGGGCTTAACACATTGTGCCCATGTGGGGAATCGAGCCCGGGTCTTCGGCGTGACGAGCCAACGCTTTAACCACTAGGCTACCCCACCGCCCTTTACACCTGTGAATGAATGGTTCACTTTGCTCAGTATTGTTGGGTTTGTGGATAGAGTTCCTGCCCAAAGGATATATCGTAGTTCTATCCCTGTGGTTGCTGGTTTTGGCTTGCTGAATTTCAAGCTTACACCAGATACTTTACAAGTAGGAACACTCCTTATACTGTTGGCGTTGATCTGTTGTAGTAACCATATGCAGAACAAAACATGATTTGTCCATTCTTTATCTGTTTTTATCCTCAGAAACACGACATTCCTCTAAGTGCCATTCCATGTTTACAATACAAGCGAGAAATAGAGAAGGAGAATACAAATGATGCCAATTCTAATTCTGATGAGCCCGAACAAACAACAATCAAAGAAAACAATGTTTCGGACCCAAATGAAGAGAAGCAAAACCTGCTAGAGGCAGGAAATACTATAAATTGTGTGGAACCCACAACACACCAACCGGCAGAGAAGACAGCAGGCATAATGGAGACCAACTCCAGTGGCCAGGAAACATCGTCTGCTTTAGCATTTGGTAGTGTTCGGGAATATCTCCAAGACTGGCGCTAGTCAAGATGCAGATACGGACAAGACACCCACCGAGGAACCTGATACAGAGAAAGCCAGTTCTATGCTTGTTACAAATGCCATTTCTGATTCTGTGAAGCTGGCTGTTGGTGGCAAGAATCAGTTGGTTACAAGTCAGTCTGAAACCTGCCCGTTCAAGCGGGTGCAGTCCAGTGGGAATGGCGATGCGGATGATATTGAAATGGAAAATGATGAAAATATACCCTGTGCTACAACTAGTGCCACGCCAGCAAAAGAGTCTGTTGAATCAGCGTCACCGAATGCCAAGGTCACTCAGAAAGGGGCATCCTTAGATGAGAATGGCATGTCAGCAAGTAACAGCAATGGAGGTAAAGATTTAGAAAATGGTAGGTTTTTACTTACGTCTGATGGGTGAGGATAATATGTTACGTAACAAATCCACCGTTTGATCTGTTTCTGTTATATGTCAGAACTACCTCCATGGTGTAGTGGTTAGAGCATCTGCCCGGAGAGCAGAAGGTCGCGGGTTTGGTCCTCGGCCGCAGCATACCAAAACACATTAAAATATGGTACTTGTTGGTCCCAGCCTGGTGCTCGGCTTTAATTGGTACAACAAGGATTGGTTGGCTCGAAGTCAGTATACTGTGTCTGAGTGGGGTATTCATGCTTAACTGCGGCATGGTATCTCAGTGGGCTAGCTCTATAAAACCAGCTCCAGTCTGGGCTAGTGCAAGCAGCCGCACATACACATACACACGCAGGCACATTGTAATGTGAGCGAAATATTCTCAAGTACGACGTTAAACCCCATTTCACCTCACCTCACCTCACCTCACCTCAACGCACCTCTTATATGTCAGGGAACTTAGTCTTCAGTGTCAAAGCATTCCAAGCAACATGTATGATTTCTGTATGCCCCAAAGAAATATGCATGGGCGGTTTTCAAATGGGAAAAATAAGGAAAATACGGATGTTTGGTGTGTATATATGTCATACTCTCTACTTTTATGTGTATGGGAACTACACACTGAATGGTTTACTGTTGAGGGAAAATGTACTTTTTAAATTAGTGTTTTTCTTAAAATCAGGGGCGGTGGGGTAGCCTAGTGGTTAAAGCGTTTGCTCGTCACGCCGATGGCCCGGGTTTGATTCCCCAAATGGGCACAATGTGTGAAGCCCATTTCTGGTGTTCCCGCCATGATATTGCTGGAATATTGCTAAAAGTGGCGTAAAACCCAACTCACTCACTCTTAAAATCTGGGTGGTAATAGAATGAACTGAAATATTTTACTAGAAAGCTGACACATAATTGGCTCAAGAAGCTGTGCATCCCTCCTTGAAACTTGGCAGTCTTGTTTGTGCAGGGTTTGCCTGATATGACCTACTGTATCTGAACCAGGCGTAATACATCAGTGCATTTTCTGTGTATTGGAGCTGGCAGTGTACATCAAGGGAGACAACCCCTTCTGTGCTTATCTTAGCTGCGCACACGTTTTCTTTCCCCTTAGTTAGCAGATCTTCAGATAACACATCAAGAGAGACAACTGAATCAGCTCATCTGAACCACGCATACATCACAGGTTGTCTCCCCATGTTGGCTCGGCTAGTAGCACATCAAGAGAGACAACTGAATCAGCTCATCTGAACCACGCATACATCACAGGTTGTCTCCCCATGTTGGCTCGGCTAGTAGCACATCAAGGGAGATAACTGAGACCCTATCTGAACCCTTCATACATTACACAGTTGTTTCCTATTTCAGGAGCTGTAGATAGCACAGCACAAGGAGACCAACGGATGGAAGTGCATCCTGTCAAGGTTGAAAGTGCTGAAGAGAGAAGAAAGCAGGCTTCCTTAGGTAACCAATTTATGTACACTGAGATGGGCAGAGTCTCCAGTGACCATAGGAACAAAGCTATGAGGCTTAAAGGATTAGGTGGTTAGGAAAGGACGACTTGATTGAATGCATTTTATCATACTCATCCGAAGCTCCTAACAATATCATCCATAGTCTGGTTCAAGAGGACATACTTACATGCTTGTCCTGAATTAATTTGTTACATTGTGCAGTGCTATGGCTGAAATACTGCTAACTGCAACGTTCAACATCATTTGCTCGCGTTGTAATGTGTAGGGATGAGAATTTTCCACGGGATGAGAATTTCATAAGGCCAAGGGTCATTTTTGTGAATCGTCTAAATCCGTTGAGAAAGTTTAAGGGGGGATGGAGTTACTGTGTTCATGATATTGTCATTTCTGAGCCAGTTTTAAAGGTCTGAAATGCCTAAATATCAGGAGCTTCATGTCCCCCCACTGGGTGCCGCCATGGACCCGGCTAGTTTTCTCAAAACTTCATTCTCATCCCTGAATTTGTTATATGTGGAATATCCAACACATTTATGAAGATGATGATCGTTTCACCATTATGTTATTTATGTCAATATTTCAGACCCACCGGCAGTTATAGAATATTGCTCAAGATTGTTTGAATTTAGGACAATTACTGTCAGAAAATACAAGTAAGTTGTTCTTCCCTCAACTCTTAAAGCACAGAAAATAATGCTCATTGTCCAAAATACATGTAATTGTAGTCTCCCTTCAGTATGAATGTTAAGTCACCAGGGAATTTAATGACAGAAAAGGCGTAGGAAGATTTCCAGACAATAGATAATAGAAATACACATATAGATAAACATTAAGGGAGCAGGTCCAAAAGATTGTTACTGATGAATAGGTTTCAGAGATTAATCTGGGTTTGCGCAGAACCAGATATCTGACCCCAATTCAGCTGCAAATGAAAGTAAAATTTCTGAATTTCATATCCTTCCCAATTCATGTATATGCAGTTATAACTAGAGTAGTGGCCTTGTTGAGACATGTACTTTACCCTTGCTTCCTGATAAAAATGGCCAATAAACATGATGAAGAGGAAGCTGATGTAATGCCTAGTAGTCGAGTGTTGCTTTCAATTGCAGAGCTGAAAATGATAATTCTTTTTCATACAGATCTTCCTTGGGGTACATATATGCATTTTCTGCGACTGAAAATGTCATGTGACATTTGTAACAATGTTTTAATAAAAGATTGTACAATAAATAAAAACGCTTTTTTATTTACTATACGGCCCCCACCATGTGGAGTTACCTTTCCACCATGCATGCGAGGTCAACCAGGTAAGCAGCCAAGCCCGAATCATCATTCCTTCTGCTGTCACGCACCGTGTTCACACGTGCTGATTTGACTGGATTGTAAGGTGTCTGAGACTTCAAATACTGTATGTATCTCGTCTTTATTTGTTCTTGAGATCGTTTTATCGACTTTGCGGTTGTTTGTGGCTTATATTATGTGACTTATTGTTGTAATTTACGCTTTTTGTCCCCATGGTTTACGTACGTTTTTTATCCCCGCAACGCGTTTTGCAGGGGGTATTAAAATGGACTCCGTCCGTGCGTGCGTCCGTGCACATTTGTCTTTTCCGGAGCAGAACTCTAAAACTGTTCACTATTTCTTCACCAAACTTGGCACATGGATAGGTATGGAGGTGTACTGGTGCCTTTTGGTAGTTTTGGTATTCTGAATAGAATATTTTTGGCGTTTCCATGGCAACAAGTTTGACTTAGACTGAAATTAGTGGTAGTGCTCTTTTCCAGAGCTGAACTCTAAAACCGTTCACTGTTTCTTCACCAAACTTTGCACATACTTACATCTGGTGGTGTACTGGTGCCTTTTGGTAGTTTTGGTATTCTGAATAAAATATTTTTGGCATTTCCATGGCAACAAGTTTGACCTTTCAATACTCTCCTTCCACTTTTCTATATACACACCTAAACATTTGACATAATCATGAAGAGTATTTTGCCATTGCGGGGGGATATTGTCTTCTTGTTGCTATTCCATGACGGGATTTTGGTGTTGGTACTCGTTTGAAACTTGCTTATTAAAACAATTGCTTCATTTTGCGTACTTATTTCACGTATTTTCAAGGTTTTGACGTGTTATGGTATTTTGTGTGTCCGTTAGCGTCATGCTTTGCATGTTTGCATGTTTCGTTCAATATGAGGATAGGTGGTCCCGCTATGCGCACTGGTGTTCAGATAGGGGGATTGCGGATCCCTTCTCTGCGGATTGAGTCCGAGTTCTGGAGTTCCTTCAGTCTCGTTTGAGGGTTTGGCGGCTGCGACCATTCGTGGCTACTCCACTGCTATTTCCACTTTTCACACCTCTGTCGATGGTGCTCTTCTGGGGCAGCACCCTCTTGTACAGCGCTTTTTAGCTGGCATGGATCGGGTTCGACCTGCTCTCAGGGAAACCAGCCCACCTTGGGATTTGTCAATCGCGCTAGATTGGCTGTCCGGTCCAGTTTTCCTCACATCTATCGGCTATTTCACTTCAGTTGTTGACATGGAAAACAGCCTTTCTGGTGGCGATGACCTCCGGTAGAAGGGTCTGTGATATTCACGCAATGCCGTCCGACCTGGCACTGACGGTTTTCCATCCAGACCGTGTCAGTATTCACCTCCAGGATAGCTACTGTCTGAAGATCGATCACGCTTGCCACGTGACAGCTCCTATTGATCTTCCCACTCTTACCCAGCCTTCTAGATCGGGGACCACTCCTACGCGTGTTCACCCGTTGGATGTCCGCAAGACCTTCTGGGACTATGTCAAACGAATTCAGCGTATTCGTACGGGTACCCAGCTGTTCTGCTGTTACGGTGGCGGGAAGGCTGGGGTTCCTGCCAGTAAGCAGACCATATCTCGCTGGCTTGATTCTGTTATATGTGCAGCTTATCAGGCTAAGGGTAAGCCTCCCCCCATGGGGTTGAAGGCTCACTCAGTTAGGACAGTGGCTACTTCGAAAGTTTTTGCAGCGGCACTGCCCATTGAAGAGATTTGCTCCGCCGCTATTTGGAGCAAGCCGAGTACATTTATTTTGCACTACCAACGCGGTGGGGTAGTCTAGTGGTTAAAGCGTTGGCTCGTCACGCCGAAGACCCGGGTTCGAATCCCCACATGGGTACAATGAGTGAAGCCCATTTCTTGTGTCCCCCGGCCCGACCCTGACCGAGTGAGCCTTGGGTCATTGGTTTGGTTCTGTGTTTGATTTGCTCTTAACGACTATCCACTGAAGGCTTGTTATTATTCATCAAAATTTATTTCCTGTCGGAGTTGACTGTATTGTTATGGGTTCGCCCTTTCGGTGCTCTTACGATTATGTATCACTATGTGGGTGGAGCGTTTTGAACATTACTATGTTCTCATATATTTAACACTATGTATCGGAATCTGCGTACATTCCTCCCCTACGGGTCACCTCCCATCATGCCTCTCGTCGTGTTGTGGGCCACGTGACCAGGTAAGTGTTTGGCGTAAGTAGCATGTTTGGTTACGATATCGCTATGTATTATTTTTCCTTATCCTGACTCATGCTCTTTTGCTTGTCTTCTTCTTCTTGCGAACACAGTGGAACACCTGTATCTCCTTATTTGAAGCTCCCTTCAAAATAAAATCACTAATTGGTACTCACCACGAGTTGTCTCCCTTTATCTCCCCTGGCGGGAAAAGGTGTCGCCACCTCCAGCCCATGTGCTTCACTCTCTCCTTCTTCGCCCAGTGAGCAGGATGTGAGAGCGCCTCGTGTCTCCTTACACACCATATCCTTTGATAATCTCTTAGTTTTTACCTCTCTTAGGTTACTATAGAGGTATAGCTAGTATCCTTTACTAATTTGTATTGATTTATTATCGTATTTCTACTGTTTATTCACGTGTATTCGTGATTGTTCAGCTAGGTTTACGTTGATGAAAATCTGTACGATTTGTAGATTACGTTTCTCTGCCTCTGATCCGCATGTTATATGCCCTAGTTGTTCTACGCCCTGTGCGTTTAATTCACGTTGCAGTTACTGCATTAATTTATCTCATTCTGCATTTAATAAATATCATCTTTGCGTCTTAAGACGTGCTGCAGATAGGTCACGCAAACAAGGGCAAAACATGGCAGAGAGTCCAGATATTCCATCCAGTCAGCTGCTAGCGATCGACCCTCTCCGTCTGGTGTTCTGCTAGAGACCCCTGCGGCAGAGGAAGGCGTGGGACATGATCCGTTACCTCGAAGCGCCTGGCCTCCCCAGACATCCCCGTCATCGCAGACCAAGTCTAAGAGGGCCTCAAGCGTCGTCTCAAGCGCAGACTGAGGACCCCCAGGGCAGCGCCAGACTTCCAGAGGGAAATCACGAAGACAACAAGAACTTTCTCAGCCGAGATCGTTCCAGCAGCAGAATTGGGCCTCTACGATGATCAGCCGATAATCATCCCGGCGATACGGCACAAGAAGCGACCCGGTGTCAGCGACTGTGACTTCTGCAGAGATCAACATGCAGCCTGATGCCTCTACACCGACGTCAGACGTTATTGATGTGAACCCCATCGCAGAGAAGGCGCCCGGCGACTTCGTCACAGATCATCCCAGAAGACATGATGCGACAAATTATGTACATCATGGAGGACCACTACAAACTGCGTAAGCAGGGTCCGAAGCAACCAGCGAAGGCTCCAACGTAGACAGCACCCCAGAGGCACCCCCCGTCAACGTAGCAGCCAAGACGACATCACCTTCGCGAAGGAAGTCCCGGACCACCTTGACGAAGGACCTAGATGTACAGCCTTCGCGAAGGCCTTCGCGATGGCGGGATAGATCATCAACATCTTCGATTTCATCTCTAGATATGGACTCGGACCATCAGACATCACGGAGGCCTTCGCGAAGGTCATATCATCGATCCCCCGGACCGGACGCAAATGAAGCTTCGCGAAGGCATTCGCGAAGGACATATGATTCCAGATCCTCATCATCTAGAAGAACATCGAGGGACTATAGAAGAGCTTCGCGAAGCTATCAACATTCACCTCACAAGTCTCCGAGAAGATCATCCCATAGACGATCTCCACATCGTTCATCACCAGGTCGATCACCCGTCAGATCTCCACATAGAGCGGCGCACAAGTCAACTAGATCGCCACAAGCCTCATCGGATATACAGACAGCTACACGCAGTCCCGAAGAGCATCAACAAGTCATTAATGATGAAGGTATTGAGGATGATGGAGGAATCATATTTTCTGATGCAGAGATCACGGTATTGGATGGTCAATAACCTAGATCTCACATCACCATCAAAAAAGTGGCAATACAAGCAGACATATTTGATGAAGGAAGATGATCCAGATGCAATCACTCTACCCCGATCGACCCGATTGCGGCAGTGCCACAGAATCTAGATGCAGCTTTCCAGAAAGCTACGAAAATTCAGACACCACATCTGCCCAACTTTCATGCCAAGAAGTTCTCCACGCATAACATGGACTCCTTCTACAAAGCCCAGGACATCGATGAGAACTATAAGATCATCAGCGATGTAAAGAACAAGTTTTACAAGATGGATGGATGATCGCAAGCTGGCTCATATAGAAACCATGACGCGAGGCGTATGTTCTTTGGGTTAAATAGATCTAGGGCG